CGCTCTCGCCGTCCTACGGTCTCCGCGAGCCTCAAGGACACTCACAGAAGCCGGAGACCCCTCAACGGAGAGCCCCAACACTCCTCCAGCTGGGCCAGGGCTGCAACGATCGAAATTCAGCCCTCCAAAGGCCCCCTGGAGCCATAATCGCCCCCCAGGATTACCGGGATCACAGGCAAGTCGCCATCTTGCGCCATCTTTAAACTAAACTAGTTTAGTGAGCCCTCTTCTCAGCCCTTGCTATTCAAGCTAGCTCTTGGTCGTCTGAATTTACCATTTTACAATCTCAATCCTCATTCTGCAACCACTCCTCTATGCAAGCATTTAATATGTTAGAATATATTATTTCTTTGAATATGGAATGTGCTAGCAAAATAATGGAATGATAGTAAAACTCGAGGAGCCCGCCCATGGAATCTCAAAACCTGCTGAGAATTTGTTCCTCAGGATACAATGAAGTTAATATGCCTTTCCCTCTCTTTGCTCCTTGCTTAGACCCAAACAATCTACAGTCAGCTATATTTATCATTCCTCCCGCATAATTTGCTTTCTTCTCTGCTCTTATTGTGACTTGGTAAGGCTCATTCACTCTTAACCCAAAGTGGCAGGCCTGAGTGATGGGTTAACAATGAATCATTTAATTAAACTGTCAGAAATCCTTCACACTTGGTCTCTAATCCAGAGCGAAACCTGCCCATTCAAGCGATACACTTATCTAAGGTCCGAGAGGGAGTGTGAAGGTTGATGTGGAAATCAATTATGTTCTTGGTAGGGGAGATTACCCTTTTGACAGTGAAAGGCATGCGCCCTTTGGTGTCACATCTTCAATACATGTCAGAACCTATCACAGCTTACCAAAAAAACCTTCCATAATGCCTTTGGAGGTGACAAACCAGAGAGAAAGAGCTTCACTGTCAGGTGCCCTGACATAAGCTCTTGTGGCAGTGGAGAGAAGACCTAATTGTGAGGTGGACCTCCAAACAACAAACTCCTGTTTTTGAGGGAAAATTCAGATTGAGAAGTCATCCAACAGATAATTACTTCCTGGCAGGAGGCTCTTGGAAGGCTAGAATAATGCTCATTGGCAGCTCTTCTATAGGTTAGAGATCAGGGAAAGAGAATCTGCTGAGGTTTTTCTCTTGGGCCTTCTTGCTTAACATCTTTATAAATAATATGGACGAAAGAATACAGAAGATGCTAATTTAGTCTGCGGTATGATAGCTAAAAATATGAACATGGCTTTAGATTGCACTATACTGCCTTTCCAATGTTAGCAGGCAAGTATGAAATTTTGAGATCATATTGATGGCTGTCTGGGATCTTCAAAGAAGAGGTTCTAAAATAAGATGAACCATTCGCTCTAGTTCCCAGGATGCTCTTTATTGCTTTATGTTTCACTTCGGTTTTTGGGTTTTTTTTTTTCATTTCCTGAGCAGGAGGTCCTGCTTACGCTCAGCTGCAGCCATCCATTATTTTTATTTTCTAAGACTGTTTATGGCATGCATTTAATTTTATTTAATTAAAATAACTTTAAAAATATTTAGGTAGGGCGGGAGAGCTGGATGGTGCCCAGGAAGATATTGTAAGCACGTGGGAGACCTTTGCCTGCTTGTGATGGAATTCAGGAATTGCATTTGAAGCACCTTTTTCACCATTAAAAGAGCAATAAAAATGTATCTCTTTAGCATAGCCCACCAAATGTAGACGATTTTAGCACTTGCTGTTTTAATTGCCTTACGATTACATTATTTCCATCTTGTGTTTCTATATTGTTAAATCTACTGAGTGTTCAAAGAACAGAAAGACAGTATATAAAATGAATAAATACATGAATGAACCAATTAAGATGGAAACTTGAGTTCCAGCATTAACACTTGATTCATGCCTCTTACAAGATTTCCAGAAATCTACGGTATCATAGGATTTCTTGCAGCGAGCCAGGTAAATTGTTAAGGCTTGTTTTTAGAACCAGTTGCAATGCAAATGAACTTCTTACTACACACATGGGCCTTTCTTAATCTTCCTTCTTTTCAGTAAGGAAAATGGGAGATTTATCGCTGCTCATCATGTGCACCTTATTAGACCACACACTTGAATTTTGCCTGCAATCAGCTGCCTTTTGCCTGGTTTTAAGAGGCACTGCTCACAGCAATATCTTACCAGAATCTTAGAGTTCAGTAGTACAGAATTGGACAGGATCTTGCAGAAGGTCATTCTGACCAACTCAGAAGAATCCATTATTTTAGCAGCTTAGAGAACAGTCATAAGGAATCCTCCCCCCACCCACTGTTTTATGCAAGTGGATATAAAACAGAGATAGGAACATGTAATATGTTGGAAAAGAGGGACAGAGAGGTTCCCAAACCGCCCAGATTGAATTCTATTTAACTTGATCTTGGTCAGAAAGCATCTCCGAATGGAGCTTCTGGAAGTGGCACAAGCAAAGTTTTGGTGTATTCGGGTCTTTTCCCGTGTGAAATTGAGAGTATCTTGGCGACGTTTCGATGAGATCCCACTCGTTATCTTCTTTGCTTTGCTTTGCTCGCACAAGCACGAAGCTGAAGGCACCAACCTGAAGATAACGAGTGGAACCTTGTCGAAACGTTGCCAAGATACTCTCAATCCTACATGGGAAAAGACCCGAATACACCAAAACTTGCATACCTCTACCCGTGAAAATCTACGAAAACTATATATATATATATGTGTGTGTGTGTGTGTGTGTGTGTGTGTGTGTATGTATATGTATATAATTATTTATTATTAGTCATATTTCTATGCCGCCCACTCTCCGAGGACTCTGGGCGGCTTACACCAAAGACAGTATACTAAATAGCATATTGCCCCCAACAATCTGGGTCTTCATTTTACCCACCTCGGAAGGATGGAAGGCTGAGTCAACCTTGAGCCGGTGAGATTTGATCTGCTGATCTGCTGAACTAGCAGTCAGCTGAAGTAGCTGCAGTACTGCACTCTAACCACTGCACCACCTGGGCTCATGCCGAGGTGAACTGAATATATATATACCGTATTTTTCGGAGTATAAGACACACCTTTTTACCCCCCAAAAGGGGGTGAAAATTTAGGTGCGTCTTATACACCAAATGTAGCCCTGCCCACCCACTGGCCCCCACCCTTTGGCCTGTGCCTCGCAGCAGTTATTTTCTTGCAAGCAAACAGCAAGAAAAAACAGCCCCCTTCAGCTTCAGCATAGGTTAATTAGCACAAGTTGATTAGATCGGCCTCGCGTCTCTCAGCTGATTTGCTCTCAGCTGTTTTGCGCAGGGCTCTCCAGCTTGCTGCAAAGAGTGCTGGAGCAGATTTTTTTTCCCTAGCTATGCTGAAAAAATGAAACTGAAAGTAAAGCAGGCTCTTTGCTGCAACGTGACAAAATGAGGCAGGGAGAGATTTCTTTTTCTTTTTCCTCACCAAAAAAGGTAGGTGCAAACAATGGGAAATTTAGGGAAAAAGAGGAGAGTTCAAGATTTTAAAACACAAAGAAAAAAAGCTCTATTTAACTAGGGAATTGTAATAATTGAGATACTATTAATTGTATATTGTGTTGAAAGCAGAAATGGTTAAGTTGTGGTTTGGAGGAATATATGGGGAAAATTATTTGGTTTATTATTATTGGTAAATATAATTAATTGATTTGTAAGAAATTGGATTGCATGGAAATAATTGGAATATTCATGTTCATATTGATTAATATACAAAAAAGATAGTTATAACTAATTGATTTATATAAAAATGTTGAATTTGTATTAAGCAATTGTAATATTAAATAATTAACCAATGTGAGGATGGATATAAAAATAGATGACAATGGGAAGGGGTATAATATAGAATACAAGGAAAAAATTGAATTTGATTAAGATTAGAGATGAGGGTGAAGGGTAATATTGGTTTTTTTAAAAAAATAGATGAGGAATAAATATGGCAAAAAGGAAATATAGAAATTGTAAATTTAATTGAAATGACTAAACACTGTTTAAATTTGTGAACCAGCCAAATACTCTGTTCAAAGAAAATACATTGTATGTTTATATGTGTGTTTGTCTAAAAAATAAAAAAAAACTTAAAAAAAACAACCAAAAAAGGTAGGTGCGTCTTATACTCCGGAGCGTCTTATACTCCGAAAAATACGGTATATATTCAGTTATGCCCAACAGACAGAAGTGTCAAGGCTGCATGCTGATTTACTAAAAGACATGATTGCTCCTGCACAATGCAAAAGGTTCCAAGCAGGCAGCATGACACCGCCCTGTGAAGTAGCCAGTAATGATATATTAACATTATGCACAAGTGTATCAAATAATCAGCTGCTCTCCCCATCGTTTAATGAAGGAAGGGAATGTTGGGAGCTGACAGGAAATAAGAAGCCATCCCGCTGACTTTGAGTGGCACTTGAATGATATGAGAGTGTCTTGGCATGTGAAAGGGGGAAGGAATGGAGCCTCATTAATTTTTAAATGTGCTTCATATTGAGAAAAAGAGGGGGGGGGAACTGAATGCAAAAGGAGTAAAGCAATTCAATTCTGTCAGCACTGAAGCCTCCATGAAATTTAATCAGTTGGAAAACTGTAGTAAATCCAAAGCCCACTATAGCATCTGCATTTTTTAAAAAAATGTAGGTTAAGCAGTATAAACTTGAGAAAACGAGGAGATGGAAAAGGGAGCACTATATAGGACATGCTGTAAGCAGAAACTGGAAATGCCATGAGAAAAGAGATTGAGTTGGATAAATCAGCAACAATAGAAACCAAGGTTTCTAATAAGATTTTTATTGCTCAGGTGTCAATCTGTCCTTATTTGTCAAGGAAATTTGCATTTTCTTGTTTCCTTTTTTTTCCAAGGCAGCACTATTTTAGTATAATACATCTGAATAATGGTTCATAAATCTCAATTTTAAAACTTCTGAGATAATGAAAGATTGACATACATGCAAATAGGCAAAAAATAAATAACATGTATATGTATAAAATCAGATGTTAACTTACATATCAACACGATCAGAACTTAGGCCCAGAAATGAATTTCTTTCAATTTTGCGAATATTTATGTTGTCTTGAATATCTCTGAGATTAAAAGAAAAAACAAGGGAAGGGATACAAACATGGATTTTCGTGCTGTGTTATTGAAATACAAGGCAGTACCTCTCTTTTTCTCATTCTTTAAACTAGCAGTTTTTTGGGGAGTGGGGGGTGGGGTTAAGATTTTATAGTAGTAGATACCAAAGTAAAAATGAAGTGAGAGCATAAGTACGATCATATAAACATGCAAATATATAATAAGTACTTTACAAAGCAACTAATAATATTTTATTGAGGGCCAAATTCTGGTATGTACCAAAGTTCTTTTTCATGGTGGCTGAACCTCCAACCAGCAATCACCACACATAATGCTCTTTCTGCTGTGAATCACTATCAGCATAACAGAATTTGAAATTCACAAGGAAAGGTCAAAGTCTGATTTTAAAGAGAGAGTTTGAAGGTAAATCCTATTTTCTTCTGGGAACCTATTCTTGTGTAAATGCCAGTGTTATGTAGTTTCCATGCACAAAATGGCTTTGTTGTCTTCAGAAGTATTTTACGAATGAATTCCAGTGGTGTGCATTTACTGCTACCACAGATATAAGGAGAATGAATGGCTCCTTCCTCTGCAGCTTTTTATCTTGTCCCAGTGCTTGTTCTGGAGACGGCTAGGAGCTCTCCAAAGCAGATCTGGGGAAGGGCATGTAGGTACATGTGAAAGAGATGGAGGGGAAGTCTCTGCATAACTGCATAACTCGAAGTATATTCAAATGAAGTATGTCATGTGCATAACAGGAAGTATGTCCGCATCTTACTAGAAAGAATTTTACATGGCCAGATCATTTTAATTTGATCTATTGTTCAATTCTGAAGGTATATTCACTTTTAAACTTTTGTAATTGTCCGCTATATGGATGTACAGTACTCAAGAGTTTCCAGAAATAAAATATGTATTATCCCCTAACAATTTCTATTTTCATCTTTGTGTTGCAAGTTTGAAATCTGAGATTTTACTCTGTTGAAGATTTGTATGAGCTAAACTGTAATCTGGATGGAATCCATTTTAATTTATGTCTCCTATTTCTCTTTCCCAAAGGTGCTTTTTCAAGAGGCAACTGGACTTTCTTGTTTTTCTTTGAGGATGTTTTGCTTTTCATCCAAGAAGCTTCTTCAACTCTGACTAGATGGTGGGGAAATGGAAGGATTTATATTCCTTGAGTATAATAGGAGTATAAATCCTTCCATTCCCCACTGTTCAGTTAGAGCTGAAGAAGCTTCTTGGATGAAAAGTATAGGACAGAATAATAGAGTTGGAAGGGACCTTGTAGGTCATCTAGTCCAACCCTCTGCCCAAGCAGGAGATCCTCCACCATTTCTGACAGATGGCAATCTCTTCTTGAAAGCTTCCAGTGATGTTTCCAGTGAAACATCTTCAAAGAAAAACAAGAAAGTCCAATTGCCTCTTGAAAAAGCACCTTTGGGGCTTTTCCCTGGATGACTGAGAATCTCCTTAGACATCTATTTCTCTTCACTTTACTCTCCCCCACCCACTCTCTCTCTCTTTCACACACACACACGCACACATGCATATACATAATATATGTTCCTAAAATTAAAACTGGAAAAAATATCCAGGAAAAACTTACAACACAACTTTGTGCAAAGCATGTACTTGGTTAACAACAGGCAAAAATCTGATGGCAGTATTCGATATCAACCTAAAAGAAGAGAAAATATATAGTCATAATTAGCTATGGGAGGAAAGAGGGACTCATGAGAAATGCCTTCTCAACATGGATGTTCTCTAGTTGTGTCACTGCAAGCCAGAATGTTCACTGTTAATTCAATATATTTGGAGGATAGCAAAAATAGTTAAAAACAATGGAATTTATAATCTCACAGAACCAGAGAGTACTAGACTGAAGAAGGCTGTCCCAGGATGATCTTGTGAATTTGCCACTGACATTATTTCTGACTCCAGTAAACAACTTTATACAGATATGCTGCATAGTTCTCAGCTACAATATGTGACAGTAAAAGAGGAAAAACAAGTTTTGTCTTCACACTTATGAGAATTCTGAAGGGATTCTGAAATATGAAAAGAAGCAACAAAGAACTTGTGTTGCAGAGTGTTGTGGCCCATACACGGCCTATGTGGCTGGTGGCTGATTCGGACAGCGAGGAGGCTGGTGTGGTGCTGCGCCAGCAGCCTGTGCAGCTGGCACTCGAGTTGGACAATGAGGCTGGAGAAAATGTGGTGCCAGAGGCTGGGATTCAGCCAGGGCCTTCAGAACCTCCAGAAGCTCCCTTAAGTGAAGAGGACGAAGAGGAGGAGCCTCTTCTCGATGCACGGGCGCGCAGAGCTGCCAAAAGGCAGGAGTGGCTCCTCAGGAGGAGGTCTCCTTGAGAGTAAGGCTTGGGGCTAATTGGCCACTCCCTTAGCCTATTTAAGGAGGAATGCTGACTGAAGCAATTTGCAGGGAACAACTTAGTTCACATACCTTTGTGCCTTGATCTTGGTTCTCTGCAAATTGCTTCTGGGCTTTTTGCCAACCATAGTAAGATTAAGATTATTTATTCTTTGGATTCTTGTAGGCTGTTAAGAAAGTTAATTAACAGCCTTTGTTTGAAAAAAAACCTGATTTAATTTAGTAAACTAAGGTTTGTACAGACTTTGTGTGTGCTGCGTTCTTTGAGGTCCGTAGCTGGGGCAGAACACAGAGGGACTAATGAGTATGTGGCAGTAAGTCACATATCCAACATAAGGAACAACTAGTTCCATTCCAAAGCCAACCTTCAAATCAGTATCATAATTCTCTGCACTGTTTCCATCATTCTTGCCATTCACAGTCTAATAACGGTTTATTATCTGACTTATTTCATATCCTCACAGCATTTGCTTGAGAGCAAACAGCATGCAAAGGAAGGCTTTTACATCCAAGAGCCTGTGAATACTGATGACATTCTGCTCTTTGCATCTCAGAAGGAGGGGTGGCAAATCTGTCCTTGTCCTTACTCTCAGTATGCCAGAATGTGGCCAGGCTGAGTGACTTCCTGAGAATATCTATCCAATGGTGAAGCTGCTTGTGTTTCTTTTAGGTTTTTCAGCTCTCCCTATTTCACATACAGTTATTAGGTCTGTGGACTGAATGACTACAGGTAGTCCTCAACTCACAACAGTGTCAGCACTTCAAGCTGCATTTACTCTAGTGCTGACATAAGAAGGAGAAGCGGAGGTGTCTAGAAAGGGACGTTTGACTTTTCACCTACTTATTTTCCCTGGATATAATATCCCCTAGGAGATGGATGGAAGGGGGGGAAATTCCTTTGAGCTGGAGCAGTAGATTAGGGGCAGAGTGACTTGGAAGATGGCCAATGAGTGCAGAGGAGTGGGGAAAGGAAAAGGAGGGTTTGGGGTCAGAAAGTCAGTGTTGGCTTCGATGGAGTCGGAGTTAGAATGTCGTGCTTAATAAATGGTAGATTTTCGTCAAAGATTTTGTTTGAAATGCAATTTATTTGAGATGACCTCGAAACTTGACAAACAGTTCATTTAGTGACTGTTCAAAGTTACAACGGCACTGAAAAAAATCACTAATGAGAATTTTTCACACTTATGACCATTGCAGCATCTCCATGGTCACAGGATCAAAATTTGGATGCTTGGTAACTGGTTCATATTTATAATGTCCCGGGCGTCCCGGATCATGTGATCCCCTTTTGTGACCTTCTGACAAGCAAAGTCAATGGGGAAGTCAGATTCACTTAACAATGGTGTTACTAATTTAACAACTGCAGCAATTCGCTTAACAAGTTGGCAAGAAAAGTTGTAAAATGGGACAAAACTCACTTAACAAGTTTCTCACTTAACAACCTAAATTTTCGGCTCAATTGTGATCATAAATTGAGGACTACCTGCAGTGTTTCTGAACGTGACTAGATTATATTTATTTGTAAAGTAAACAATTCAAAATAAAATTCTTGGCAATCACATAGATTTTCTCCAGGATTATGGTTCACATGTTTCAGAGATGTAACTGTATGTTTGTACAACACTGTTAAATATGGCCATGTTGCAACAAGGGGATGTTTTTGAATTCTGAAGTGGAACAAAAGAGAACACTTTTACTGCAGCATGAATTGTCAGGCTTGAACCCCTGCCAGTGCTTCTCCCCTGGTGCTAGGACCTTGCCACCTTTTCAGCCCCTAAGGATGTACAATTATAATTCGCTTTGTTGCGAAGGTTGTTGAGAGTGTGGTGGCGCGACAACTACCCCGATACCTGGATGAAGTTGTCTATCTGGATCCGTTCCAGTCGGGCTTCAGGTCACGATACAGCACAGAAACGGCATTGGTCGCATTGGTGGATGATCTCTGGAGGGCTCGGGACAGAGGTTGCTCCTCTATCCTGGTCCTATTAGATCTCTCAGCGGCTTTTGATACCATCAATCATGGTATCTTACTGCACCGGCTGGAGGGGTTAGGAATAGGGGGCACTGTGCTTCGGTGGTTCTCCTCCTTCCTCTCTGACCGTTCGCAGTTTGTGTTGGCAGGGGGGCAGAGGTCGACCTCGAGGCACCTTATTTGTGGGGTGCCGCAAGGGTCAGTCCTCTCACCTCTTCTGTTCAACATTTATGTAAAACCGCTAGGTGAGATCATCCGTGGTTTTGGGGTGAGTGTTCATCAGTATGCTGATGACACACAGCTATACATCTCCACCCCAGACCACCCCAATGATGCCCTTGCTGTGATGTCCCGTTGCCTGGAGGCCGTGCGGATCTGGATGGGGAGAAACAAGCTCAGACTCAACCCCTCCAAGACCGAGTGGCTGTGGCTTCCAGCGTCCCGGTATAGTCAGCTGGTACCATCACTGACAATAGGGGATGAGATCTTTCTCCCCACAGAGAGGGCCCGCAACTTGGGTGTCCTCCTGGATTCACGGTTATCTTTAGAAGATCATTTGACGGCCGTGGCCAGGGGTGCCTTTTATCAGGTTCGCCTGATTCGCCAGTTGCGTCCCTTTCTGGATCGGGATGCCTTGCGCACAGTCACTCATGCCCTAGTTACCTCCTGTATGGACTACTGTAATGCTCTCTACATGGGGCTCCCCTTGAAAAGCACCCGGAGGCTCCAACTGGTCCAGAACGTAGCCGCGTGGGTGATTATGGGCGCAGCTCGTTACGCCCATGTAACACCTCTTCTACGCGAGCTGCACTGGCTCCCGGTGGTCTTCCGGGTGCGATTCAAGGTGTTAGTTATCACCTTTAAAGCGCTCCATGGCTTAGGACCTGGGTACCTACGAGACCGTCTTTTGCCACCAATAGCCTCCCACCGACCAGTTCGTTCTCACAGGGAGGGACTACTCAGGGTACCGTCAGCCAAATTATGTTGACTGGTGACTCCCAGGGGGAGGGCCTTCTCTGTGGGGGCTCCAACCCTTTGGAATGAACTGCCCCCGGAGATATGGAATATCCCTGATCTCCGTGCTTTCCGCCATGCCCTCAAGACCCTGATGTTCCAACAGGCAGGGCTAAACATACAAACATGCGAATGATTTTTTAAATGTTATCTAATTCTGGGTTTTATTTAATTGACCAAACTAAGTGGCAATTTTAATTAGCAATTTTGTGGTGTTTGTGTGTCTATGTTTTTCTTGACTGTACACTGCCTTGAGTCCTACGGGAGAAAGGCGGTATAGAATAAATAAATAAATAAATAAATAAATAAATAAATAAATAAATAAATAAATAAATAAACAAACCAAACCCAACATGGATTTCAGTGCCAGGGAAATCCCATTCCCTTTCAAATTTGAACTATATGTAGGTTAGGACAGGAACCATCAAATCTGTTAAAAGTAAAAATGTATGAAGGGATTATAGTCATCAGAGTTTGTTGGTTTGTGATTAAAGCAGCATCTAAGCCTGAACAAGCAAGCAAGCAAATAAATACATAAATACAGTCTATGTCCAATGTGACATTTTCAAGTACTGCTCTGTAAAAATAAGTCCTGTAAATATTTTAAAATTGCCTCCTGAATTGTTGTATAAATTTTACTAATCTTTTTGTAATAAACATACATTTATATCCCACTTTCCACAATGTATACTTTTTATACATACACTCATACACATTTTAAAGCTATCCAAGGTATGCTTTTCTTCACGCAGCTTTCCCAAATGTTTATTCCAGTGAAAGAAACATTCAGACCTAAGCTAGCCAACTCAACACACTGTGTTTTCATCTGTTCTGGAAGATTCCGTGTTGGTGTCTCCTGCCATTGAACCTGACAATGGAATTTATGATGGATTTCTTTCTCATCTCTTGAAATGACACAGCATTCCAGACTCCAGATTATAAATGTAAAGCAATTCTGGAAACAAAAGAACCCAACGGTGCAATTTAAAAATCCAAAACACTATCATACAGATAATGATTCCCCTTACTCTTTCCTTTTAATAAAGTTTATATCTACAGTATTGAAAAAGGCAACAAGTTACCATTTGGAAACAGATTGTCCATTTCGCCTGCTGGAAAGAAGCAATTAACAATTTTATGTTCTGTATGAAAAATCTTTGGAAGCAAGTCAAGGGCACACTTTCCTTAAAAAAAAATGGGAGAGAGATGGAGAAAGAATGACTGAAAGAGCCCTTAACAAACTTAATTGGGCCCTAATCATGTTAATTCTCTTTTACAACTCAACAACAAATGCATAAAGTAGTTATTGACCAGCATTTTAGTTTGAACTACTTAATCCATATGGATGCCTGATTAAGATTTTAAAGTTAAGTAGAGAGTTTAAAAATTAACATGTGGAAGAGAGACACCAAGTAACTGCAATTTCTTTTTCCCGATTGAAACATGTATTAATAGAAATAAAATGTGATGTGAAGCTAAATTCTGTCTATGCTTACTCAGAAGTTACTCCTGTAGTTCAGAGATGTATATAAAAGTGCACGGCTTCTTTACTAAATGAGAGATGTCAATAATATTATTTGCCCAAAAATCATGCCATCAACTTAGTTTCCTAATTGTGTATGACTCAGTACAGGTAGTCTTTGACTTACAACCACAATTCAACCCAACATTTATATTGTTTAAGTGAGTCAGTTGCTAAGTGAATTTTTGCCCCATTTTACAACCTTTCTTGCTACAGTTGTTAAGTGAATCAATGCAGTTGTTAATTTAGTGACACGATTGTTAAGTGAATCCCATTGACTTTGCTCATCAGAAGGTCACAAAAGGTGATCAGTTGACCCTGGGACACTGCAACTGTCCAGTTGCCAAGTATTTGAATTTTAATCCCATGACCCTGGAGATGTTGTAAAGGTCATAAGTGTGAAAAACATGATTTGATAAAGGCTGATTGTACTTATTTATTTGCTTGCTTGCTTGTTCAGCTTATATGCTGCTTTAGTTTCAAACCAACCAACTCCAATAAATATAAGTCACTTTTTTTTAGTGCTGTTGTAACTTTGAACGGTCACTAAATGAATCATGGTAAATTGAGGACTACCTGAATATAAAGCTGGTTATGATTTATCAGTACCAAGAAGGTAGGATGTTACTATTATGACCATTTCGTTAACAAGGATTCAGAGTTACAATGGCATGGGCAAAAATGACTTTGAAGTTAAGATTCACCACCCCCACAGTTATGAGATCACTATACAGGTGACTTGCATTTACGACTGTTGCAGTGTCTTGTGGTCATATGATCACGAGATTCCAAAAGGCAAAGCCGGTAAGGGAAGCTCGATTTGCTTATGACGATGTGAGTCAGTTAATGACCATGAGATTTGCTTAACGACTGCAGTGAAAATGTTCATAAAAATCGGATTCATCTTAATGACCATATCATTTAGCAACTGAAATTCCAATCCCAATTGTGATCAAGGACGTACTGCAACCTATAAGAGAAGGCTATTGTATGACTCTGCAAGAAACAATAAGCAAATAATCCCCCTTTTTGGCACCCTTCCTCCTAACATAAAAGTCTGAAGATATGGCATAGTGTATAATAAATAATGTGGTGCCTGAAATAAATGGAAAATTAAATGTACACCGGTATCTGCCGCTCTGTCCCTTTTCTTTATTCATTAAGTTTTTAAAAAGCCACTCAAGTTTTCTCAGTGGAGTGTGTAATGCTGTGATGAAATGCTGAGGTTCTTTTGCCTTTCCATTATATCTCATCAACTGATCAGTGTGAAATAAAACTGGGAAGGAACTGGTCTGTCATAGCATTTGTGAATACATTGCAGTGCCAAAAATAATTAAAACAACAACAATACAAATTGTAGAATTCGCCTCAGGTGTAGACCACAGTTTTTAGAAATTCACATAAGGAATGGTAGCATAGTATCAAATGGGTCACAATTCCCCAAATCAAACTGAGCCTGACTTCTTGTATCTCCATCACAAATTAAGGCAACAACGGTTTAAAAAAAAGGCCTTTGGTTGTGAAAAGCGAAACAATAACAACAAAAAAGGCCATTATATCCTTAAGCTTGTTTCTTCAACCATAAGGATGTAAAGTCTTTGTTTTCTATCATTAACATTTGCCTGTTTCCAAGTTTAATATGATATACATATATTCAAAGAATATATGAGCTATTTGGGAAAAAGAGAACATCTGTTGTAGGCAGTGCTGCATGAATGAATCTTTGATGCACATGAAAAGTGCTAATTCCTATTCCAATATCTGATGGCAATCACAGAGTGGTAAGAAGATAGTAAAGGGGGTGGGGGCTGGTAGACTTTTTCCTGTTGACTATCCCTTCACTGCAAATATCTATCCTAGACAGAAGAGCACTATGGTTTCAATTAAGTCAATGGAGTACATTAAAAACAAACACTCTTAGAACCAGAATGCTCTTCTGGATCATTATATGGATCATTATGGCAGCAAAGGGAAGAGCAGAATTGCCCTTTGCTCCTGAAACATAACAGAATTAGAAATATATTTCTGATAGTGACTTGCAGTTCTTAGAATTATACAGTTTACTTTTTCCCAAAAGGCTTTAGAAGCTCACAACATGTTTCATATATGGAAATGGGAGAAGGAAGAAGCTGCCACACTTATCAAGGAACAATCCCCACAGTTACATTCCGCAAACACTAAAAATATAGCAGTAAATGCATAAGCTGCAGAACCTGAAATAAAATAATATTACCATCATGAAAACTTTCATTTTTGAACTGGGAATAGGAACAGTTTTCATAACAGGAGCAGTTGTGTTAATTACATGAAAGAAATTTACATGGATGGTTATTGTGCAGGGAAATCGAAATAAAAAGAATACCTTATGTAAAAATAACTTGATTTGAAACAGTTCCATAAATCATAAACTTACAAATATCTGAGACTGGGAAGATTCTGGAATGCATGTCTATCAATATACACAAGATTGTTTGCTTTCTCAATCCTTCTGTAGGGAAAAAAGAATATGTATTGTAAAGAGTCAAGACTTGCTCTTTGAGAATGAACAGAATGGGTAAGCAATATTTACCTACCAAGCTGTATGTAGCTTGCCAAATATAAAATTTCACTATAACCTTGATATCAAGTTATATGTTTACAGAAAGGCACACTAAGAAAGTCACCACCATCTCCTGAGGACCATTACCCTACAGAAAATACTTTTCTGATGTCAGTGTAATCAATGTGTATATCAACATATGATAACTGTAGCCCAAGTACAAGCTTATTGTAAATCAACTATTAGATGTTTATTATCACAGTATCTTTCTATTGATCTGTTCTTAACAAAGGACTAATTTATAACATGATAAGTTAATCATAAATTTATTTTATGAATTTGATTTTGGCCAGAGCTTATTTTGAAAACTTACCAAGGATTATGATCCATCTGGCAATTCCTTCCTTTACTCCAAATGCATCACTTCTTACAACTCATTGAGTAAGTCAGTGCTTCAATATTTCCCTTTTGAAACTTTTTTTTGTCTTAGATTATTATTTGAAGCTTCTCCCAAGTGCCACCATTTTCAATTTTAGGCAAGTAGGAAAAAAAGGCAACCTTTTCAATGATGGCACCACATCTTCATAATACTCTCCACGAGAATGTATGGTGGATGATGCCTTATAATGATTTTACTCAGTCTAGTGGTGAAGAAATGGCAGCCAAGGGCTAATTTCTATTTTTTAAAATAAAAATAATAGTACATTTTTTCAGGCTGCAAAGAAAAGAGGTCATGGTAGTTACCAATGGTGGAATAGAAATAGACTTTTGCCCCCTTTTGACAAATATAAATAACATTTATATCATTTCATCAATTAGTTCATTACATTTTTAATGAAATTTTTTATTTTTAATTCCATTTATTACTTACATTTCATAAAGCTTGGGTAGGTGGGAGAAAACATCTGATTCTATAGTTTCCAGTGCATCATTTTGAGAGACTTCTCTGTCAATGAAATGGAAATAAAATGACTGGAAATGTTAATAGGGCCAATACTGTATGTATGAAAACCAATAATTCAAAAATTTGATAATTTTCAAGAATTAAATAGCTGTAAACTGGAGTCCATTAAAACACACTATTGCTTTTAAAATCATATCTCCAAGAGATTTTTTTTAGCACCAAACTGTTCTCCATAAATGAGACATAATCTTCTCAATTTAAAGGTTAATGTTTAGGAGAAAGAACCTAGTTTTCTTTTCAGATATAGTACTGTACTTGTGATCAACCATCAGCAAGAAAGAGACTTGCTTAAAAACTTTCTTCTTGATTTTGAGTTTGTTTATACCTTCATCACTTGTATTGACATGATTGCCTGGAAACTAAAGTAATGCAGGTCATTCTGCTGTCCGTGTAACTTCGCTTGTTCATATTGTCATTAATGTCATATGTAATAACTTGCAAGAATGTGCAATATCACAGCAATAAACATGTTTATTTAATCATCTTTTGATTTTTTGGGGTTTTTTGGTATAGATTTTATAGATTTTTTAAATCTGTAAGCAAAGATTCACTTCAATAGTGAAGTGAAAGTGTATAAATGCACTAAATAAATAAATAAATACATTCCAAACCCAGTTTTACAATCTTCAGAACCATAAATTCTTTTGCCTCCTTTAAATCTTTCTAATAACTGTAAGTAAGGAAACCATTGACAGCTATGTTCCTTTGCTACCAGTTCTTCTCTTGATTTTATTTTGTATTCCTTGTGACAAAATTCTAGTATCTCACAATATGTTAACCATTTGTATTTGCTTGTTATTTCTTGCCTTTAAAATGCTTCTGGTGCCAAGAGCCACAAAGGTGTTTTTGAGCAGAACTTGGATTTGTACCTAATCCATATTCTCAATGTAGCCTGTCTAACATGATGTAATGGAATGCATGGACAATGCTTGAGGAAAGAGAGAAGCAATATTGCTTAGAAAACCACCAGACAAAAGAGGCAGGAGCCCACAATTGTTTAATAGTCAATGAAAGAAAGAGGAAAGACCTGCCTTAATGGTTCTAGCACTTAAAAGTGGAGAATGAGAAATTGGTAATATCACACAGGATTTAGCTATTTGAAGGCTTCATTGACTAGAAATGCACTCATAAATATTATATTGAACAATTAATAGAATTTAAAACCATCAGCTTTATGAATGAAGAAATTTTTAAAAAAATCTCCCTAGCCACTTTGTGAAAAACAATTCAAAACGGATGACTTTAAGGTCTGTTTAAAAGGTTGATTGATGATTCCAGATATATCTTCCATGAGAAAGGATTTCCATTAAACATGAAATCTTCACAGAAAAAGCCAATTTTCTACTGATCTGATTGACAATCAGTGTATATTAAAGGCAGACTGGACAGGTTCAGAAATACAATATGTAAATATGGGGAGTCAGTTCAGGTTTTCAGGTGAACTTTTGGAGGCTGAAGCTGAGATATGTACTATAAATGTTAATATCTTCCTTTCTTCACACCTTCTTTGCATCCACTTAGGGCATTTGACAAGGTTCTTAGAATAAATTGGACTGGTAAGTATTATTTTTCTCCCCCAGGAGTGAGACAGTAGAGAAAGAACAAATTTAATTAACCTTATAAACAACTTAGAAAATGCAAACACCAAAATTTATATCCACCCTTATATAAATTATCCACTCATAATGAGAAATGCGATTAACTGCATTTCTATTGCTAATTCCACTACATTACACATTATGATGAAGCTGGGAACAGCAGGTGCTTTACAGTGACACTGTATATTTCACTTTAAAAAAAAAATCAAATTGTGAATTAAACAAACCAACCCATCTTCTATAAAAATGTGTCTTTTAGGTTTATGAGCTGTCACTTGCAATTCAGCCAAGCTGAACAACTAGATGCAGCTTCTACCTCCGTGAATACTAGCTCCCTCTCAAAGGGATTGTTTTTTATTTGAGAACACACCAGGTTTAAAATAATTGTAATATTTATCTTCTAATTTATACAGCATGCAGAAAGGAGCAGAGGAGGAAGTTACTATTTTGGCAGGTCTAGCAATTCAGAAGTGAGCTGAGGAAAAACAATAGTCAGGCTTATGCTGCTTAAATTTTAAGCTTTTCTGCTCTCACCACCTTCTCTTCCTCTTTCTCCTCTCATGTTCTGGCAGACAATTAGTCAGATAGGTTTGAGTCTCAAGAAGATCTAAATTAATCATTCTAATATTTGGTCTCTATTTAGATCTTGCTAGCCTTCTACTACTTTGCCTAGTTTTTTCCCTGGCTATTTCTCTAAACCTTCAGTTTAGATGAACTAGTTCATCTCCAAATGGCTACAATACTGCAGTTCCTTAATTCCTGTATTTTCTTGTTATCTTATTTTATCTTGAATGGAAATTTCCAGTAGAATTAAGCAACTGAGAGCTGTCTTCACCAAAACGACCATATATAGCACGCCTCCAAGGAATGTAATTGTTACAAGCTGATCTCTTGTTTATATTTTTTTCTTCACTTTGTCATATTCTGTGTTCCCCTCTGTTATATTTTGCAAATCTCTTTGGGAAGGATCTGCAAATTTTGTGCTTTGTAAAGTGCCATGACCCCAGATGTTATTCTTAAAGTTGCCTTATGCTGTCCTTTCTGGTCCAAGTTAATTATGAAGATCCGTGGTAAATAAAGCCCCCTCATGTGTGATCTGATTCAGGAGGGGGATGCGGACCTGGTAGGTATTACGGAGACCTGGTTGGGCCAGGAGGGGGGTGTCCCCCTCGTTGATATGTGCCCTCCGGGCTTCTATGCATTTCATCAGCCGAGGTCCCAGGGGAGGGGTGGGGAGGTAGCGGTTCTGGTAAAGGAAGGTCTCGCCCCAAGGGAGGCCACTGTACCTCAGATAGCCGGATGTGAGTCCCTCCTTGTGAAGTGGGGACAAGGGAGGCAGATGGGCTTGCTGATTACGTACCTGGCTCCCTGCCACATGTCGGCGGCCCTGCCCAAGCTCCTCAATGTGATTGCCGAGGTGGCGATGGAGACCCCCAGGCTTATGGTCATGGGGGACTTTAACCTGCCGTCTGTCGGCGAAGCGTCTGAGGCGGCTCGGGAGTTCATGGCTTCCATGATGGCCATGGACCTGACCCAATTAATTCATGGACCCACTCACACGGGAGGACACACTCTGGATTTGATTTTTGTCTCTGGACAGTGGATGAATGATCTTGAGATAGAGGAGTTAGTGACTGAGCCCTTGTCATGGTCAGATCATTCCCTTCTTAGGCTTGACTTTCTAACCGCCACACCCCGCCACAGGGAGGCGGAACAGACCAGATGGTTCCGCCCCAGGTGCCTGATGGATCCTGATAGGTTCCAGATGGAGCTTGGGCCATTTCCTGAGGCTCTGACTCATGGCTTGGCTGAGGAGCTGGTGGCCACCTGGGATAGGGCAGCCACTGATGCTTTGGACTGAGTCGTGTCTGTGCGGCCTCTGACCTGTCGCTGAGTCTACCTGGCTCCTTGGTTCTCCGAGGAGTTGAGGGAGATGAAGCACCAGAAAAGATGCCTAGAGAGCAATTGGAGATCTAGTCACTCCGAACCCGACCGAACACTGGTAAGATCTCATATTAAGACTTAGCTAGTGGTGATAAAAGTGGCAAAATGTAACTATTTTTCCATTCATCGCATCGGCAGATAATCGCCCAGCCGCCCTGTTTAGGGTGACCCACTCCCTCCTCCATTTGGGAGCGTGGGAGGATCCCTTGCAGGGTCGTGCTGAGGATTTTGTTCAGTATCTGCACGATAAAATCACTCAGATTCGGGAAGGCTTAGTCTCTGACTAGGTAGGTACAGACGGGATGATGGGTGCCGGTCTTGAGACTGTCATTTGGGAGGAGTTCGACCCTGTTGCTCCCAAGGACGTGGACAGGATACTCAGGCGGCTGAACGCGACCACATGTTTATTGGACCCGTGTCCCTCCTGGTTGGTGCTGGCCTCCTGGGAGGTTACGCTAGGCTGGCTCCAGGGGACTATCAACGCTTCCTTGAGTGAAGGTGTCTTGCCATCTGCCTTGAAAGAGGTGGTGGTGAGGCCCCTCCTCAAGAAGCCTGCTCTGGATCCGGCTGTTTTGGCTATCATCCGGTCTCCAACCTTCCCTTCTTGGTGAAGGTTGTTGAGAGTGTGGTGGTGCGACAGCTTCCTGGGTACCTGGATGAAGCTGTCTATCTGGATCCGCTCCAGTCCGGCTTCAGGCCTGGGCACAGCATGGAAACGGCATTGGTCACGTTGGTGGATGATCTCTGGAGGGCTCGGGATAGGGGTTGCTCCTCTATCCTGGTCCTGTTAGATTTCTCAGCAGCTTTTGATACCATCGACCATGGTATCCTGCTGCGCCGGTTGGAGGGGTTGGGAGTGGGAGGCACCGTCCTGCGGTGGTTCTCCTCCTATCTCTCCGACCGGTTGCAGTTGGTGTTGGCAGGGGGGGCAGAGGTCGACCCCGAGGTGCCTTGTTTGTGGGGTGCCTCAGGGGTTGGTCTTCTTGCCCCTTCTGTTCAACATTTATGTGAAGCCGCTGGGCGAGATCATCTGTGGCTTTGGGGTGGAGTTCCATCAGTACGCTGATGACACTCAGCTGTATATCTCCACCCCAGGCCATCCCAACGATGCCCTGGAAGTGATGTCCCGGTGCCTGGAGGCCGTGTGGATCTGGATGGGGAGTAACAGGCTTTGACTCAACCCTTCCAAGACCAAGTGGCTGTGGCTTACGCCGTCCCAATATAGCCAGCTGGTGCCATCGATGGCTATTGGGGGCGAGTTATTGGCCCCCACGGATAGGGCTTGCAACTTGGGCATCCTCCTGGATGCACGGCTGTCTTTAGAAGAGCATATGACAGCCGTGGCCAGGGGGCTTTTTATCAGGTCCGCCTGATTCACCAGTTGCATCCCTTTCTGGATCGGGACTCCTTATGCACAGTCACTCAGGCACTCGTCACCTC